GAGAAGATAAGGTGGGATAGCATTTCCTCACGGACCGCCACTTGTTCTCGTTCAAATTGTGCGCGCGGGCAACTGCAGACGCGGCGGGAAACTTCGTGTGCCCCATGAGCAACCTCACCCCCAAGGGCTTCCGCACAGTCATGGACATCGACACCATGGGCACCTTCAACAGCAGCCTGGCGCTCTATCGACGCTGCTTCAAGGTCAGCCACATCGTGCTGCAAACACACCAGCCGCCTTCCAGTCGGGCTGCCACTTGAACCATTTTTTATACTCGTTTTATTTTTGTTTTATATCAGATAAGGCCCACTCAGCTATATATTGCTCTTTAACAAAAGCCTACCTGGCCACAATTTATAGTTCAATGAAGTTGCTTGTCACGTGCACATTTATAGCAGACAAATACTCTAAACGCTTGTTTCTAAATGTGGAGGGAAAAACCGGAGGACCCGGAGAAAAATCCAAAATATACAGCAGACGCAGGGTCGGGATTGAACCCACGACCTTCTGTATACCAGGCGAGGTAGTTAACATCTCGCCACTGTGAGGCCTTGATGTGGGTTTTACCAGGATTGTGATGTTTGGTGTAGTATCTTGTCCTGGGAAATCTGTAAGTCTACCCAGAACATTCCAGCCAAGTGTATTTTAATTGCTTTATAATGTCACTCTACAGCCATGCATTCACATGTATTATAGTTCTACCCTCCTACGGTGTTGAGATATTCTTCTTTCCGTGATATATCCCAGTCTTTTTGTACCTCAAAGGTGGCAATCTTGCCTTACAATGATGCCTGCACGCATTATTGTCATTAATTCCTCAGCACTTAAATCCGACATCGGAATGGATTGCCTTTGGATTTTAACTACGTAAGCCTGCGCAATCTATCTGCCCAGCAGCGTTTGAGTGCTGTCTGTAGTCGTGTTAGGATATATTTTTTTTATTCATATTCAATAAAATGTATTCTGCAGAGTGGAGAGATGGTGCCATGGTTATCACACTGTACTATCAATCAAGCTACAATGATAGTTCGATTCCCGGCCACAGCTAACATCAGTGGTAATTTCTGAACCGATTATTTGTCTCCATCCTTCAACCTGCATTGACCACCGTGCTGCAGCAAGGGCATGCGACCATCGTGGCCAATACGGCACGGGGAGAATTTTACCCAGCAGTCGATTGAAAAAAGGGCTGTACCTTTCTGTTACTTAAAATACTTCAGTCTGAAAAGTCTGTCAATGTTTGGTTCTTTCGGTAAAGTCACGTAGGTATAAAATAAAATACACACAAGCGTCCGTCCCACCTGATGACGGATGCTTGTGTTGGGCCCGAAACGTCGTGATTTATTTTATTTTTCTACCAACGTGACTTTACCGAAAGAACCAAAGAGTATGGATTCCTGCAGTCACGAAAGCTTCAAATCAAGTCTGACAAGTCTGTCAATCTTTGTGATTACTTACCCATCCATGTGTTTTTATTTTTTGATAGAAAGCTTTCGTGACTGCAGGGATTCATATTCTTGGTTCTTTCGGTAAAGTCACGTAGAAGGGAAATAATAAAATAATACAAATATAAAACAATACAAATTCTCACGACGTTTCGACTGCAACATAAGCAATCAGCAAGAAAAATTTCTTGCTGTGGATTTCACACCTGATAATGATTGCTTGTGTTGCAGTCGAAACGTCGTGAAAATTAGAATTTTTATATTATTTTATTATTTCCCTTCTACGTGACTTTACCGAAAGAACCAAGAACATGTATTTTTAGTTGCTCATATCATGTATTTGTGTTTATACTGACAATGCACGCGATTTGTTTTTTCTAAATGTAAACAAATATTGCGAACACGATATCGATTTTTCTGGTTTATAATTTTTCTGGTTTAGAACTCTCCATTGTCACGTAAGCATTTAAGACCATGAACTGGATGCCGATAACCAGTGGATGAAGTCCACTGGGCACCAATAAACTGTCACAACTGGGCACGAGAGGCAAAGAGGGCTGACAATGTTTGTCGACTGCAACAACAAACACTCGTATCTTGTTTTGGGAGGTCATGGTTAGAACAGCCCGGCGGTCGCTCATTCCCCACTTGTTTCGAACCTGGCTGGCAGCCCTGGTTATCACTGCTCGTCTATTAACCATCAAATGCACACAGTCTGCAACGCCTGTGGACATTCACGCGATTCACCTCAACGTAATGGCAAGTAGTTTTCAGATTATTTTGCGTACGTCGAATAACTTTTGATTCGGACACATGCGATTCCATGTAATATCATGAGCCTTAAGAATCAATATTAATAAATATAATTGTGAGAATTGAATGTGTGAATTTGTATGTATGCACTGCGCTACGAAGCCGGTGACCCAAGTTCAATTCCCGCTCACGGTTAACATCAGTGATGAATATCTGAACTGGTCTTGGGCCTCTCTTAGGTCGACTCAGCCTTAAAACGAGTACATTGAGCGGCGTGTAAACATGTTGCTGACCACCCACCCCCTTGTTTGCCATGCCGGCCTTAATAGGTGCTCACTAACAACACTTGGCTCAAGAGTCCATTCAAGGCTTCATGGGGGAGTTGGGAAGCACCTTTATCTTTTTGTGTAATCGTGTGCAAGCTCTTGCACGTGTGCCTGTCACCAGGAGCACGGAGGGGTGATTGTGAACATCTCCGCCACCATCAGTTACAGAGGACAGATGCTGCAGGTTCACGCCGGGGCAGCCAAGGCAGCCAACGGTAAGAGAGCCTCTCCACAGCGGCTCCGCCATGACCGTCGCAAAACAACCTCACCCCGGCGATCTCCCAAGACATTCGGCAAAGCGTGCCGTTGTAATTCTGCTTTAATGCCGGCGGCTTTTTACTTGGTTGGTGTCCCCATGAAGTGTGTGGTGGGTGTGAGCGCATGCTTCTATGTATGTATGCACGCAGGGCTACGTTGTGGGCAGCAGAGGGCAGTGAAGGCAAACTCAGTTGCTGTCACTGCACTGTGCGATGCTCCCACGTTGATGCTGTGCCTTCACCAACCCGTACTCGCAAACGCGGTGCAGCACGGCCAAATAATATAACCTGCACAGCTCTCACGGTATGGGGTAGCCCTCATCCAGCGGTGGATTGGCTAGAGGGGCTGTGACATGGACATGGTGTGGTCGGTGTGATTGCATTGACTGTGTCTGTCCGGGCTTGTCTCGCTTGGCGAGCGAGATGCGCTCCGCGAAAATTGCTCGGTTGGCGAACATTTGTTAAAAGGATAGTTTTAACATCGACTCCCGTGTTAACACCTGTCGTGCGCACCGTGACACCTGGACGCATGTCGATCGATCGCTCTCTGCTCGCTAAGCGAACATTTGGCTCGTTTTGGGAACAAATGGATATAAATTCGCATTGCCCGTGATGGCGAATCCGTGTAGAAAGAACTCCTCGCTTAACGAGACTAGGCTGTTTGTGAAAATGTAGTGACGCTTGTGGCCGTGTGACTTTTGTTTAGATGCGATGACAAAGCACATGGCGGTGGAGTGGGGGCCGGACAAGGTGCGCATCAACAGCCTCGCCCCGGGGCCCATTTCAGGCACGGAGGGCATGCGGCGGCTTGGTGAGTGGCTCACGGTGGCGGAGGATTTACACTCCGCAGTGAGCAGTCCTTCGGTCATGTGACCACACTCCACCACGCTCATCAGTGCGGGTTGGTGGGGGCGGCGGAGTTTGGATGTACGCGACAACGACGGATGTTGCTGTACTGCCCCTGGTTTCCGTGTTACGCACGATGATGCAGGGGTGTGGTAACCACCGAGGACAACTTTAAGTTGCACAAAAATTACTCCCGGAATGAATAGCTGTACACAAGACATCGTCAGGTTTTCCTACTTCGTTACACAAAGCACTGCAACGTTTATTTAGTAGTCTGCATCACGAATATTAAAAACATACACACACACGCAAACAGTACTGTTATCGCCAGCCTAGAGTAAATGCTCTGCACTGACCCAACGCGGCCGTTGTTTTTTGGTTCATCTCTCCAGGCGGTCACCTGAAGGGGCAGAATCCCTTCGCCTCCGTGCCGCTGGGGCGTGCGGGCACCAAAACGGACATGGCACACTGCGCGCTGTTCCTCGCCAGCCCCCTCGCCTCGTACGTCACGGGCTCGACGCTTGTCGCCGATGGCGGCGCCTGGATGACTTCCTCCAACGATTTCAACGCGGTCCGAGCCGGTCTCGTCACCTCCAAGATGTGACCCCCCCCCCCTCTCCTCTTCACCGTCGGTCTCGCCAAAGCATTTTGTGCTGCGACAAATCGCAGGCGGTCGACGCAAACCTCCCAAGTTTCAAACAAAAAGAAACTCGACACACTGGTCAACAACACCGCCTTGAGCGGGTAGAAGGAAAAAAATCGAGAATAGGCGACGTTTCTCGGCAACGACGCTTCTAAACGGCAAAGTGTCGTACACATTTCTTTGTTAATGTCCAAAAAGGCTGGCTGCATTGAGCCAAGACTTTCACTCGGGTTCTTAGTTTGAGTGGAAGGAAACTCTAGTACAGACAGTCCACAGAGATTAGTTGATTAGTTGAGATTCTGCGATATATCGCGGAGCCCTGTGCTGTCCCCGCACCGATTTATCACGGTTGGCTACGTACGGTGCGAAAGAGATTCGACACAAACAAATCTGTTTTTTAAGAATGTTTCTCGGTGAACAATCTTAAATTGATACACGAAGTTACCGATTGTTGAAAGTTGGGCATTGCATTATATTGGAAAGCAAGGGTGGGCGTTGAGATTGACGAGTGGCAGAGTGAGACCAGTGGGTGGAGTCAAGCGGTATCTGCTGCAGGCTGCATGAACACTTTGATAAGGAGGGGGTAGAATTTGCAAGTACAGTACCAATTATGTGTGACAATTGCGCACTTGATAGTCAGTAATGCTCACGATGACGCGGTGAAGGCGCGCGTCTTGAGGTGCTCCGAAATTGTTGATGTGGCAAATTACCGGCCTTTAATAAAAAGAAAAGTTGAAACTCCTCGAAGTGGTAGTGCCATATTTTTGGTGTCTGGCTGTAAAAACACAAAGCGTGTTTTTTTGTTGTTGTATATTCCACCCATCTACGTGTGCTCACTGCCGTGCGAAAACAACAAAGGGGTCTGCGAACTTCGTGCCCCGCCCTGCACGGTGCTGCGAGCCTGGATTTCTTGGGATGACCGCAGGCAAACCGGCTGCGAGCACGTGCGTGGCGGCGAAGAACAAGACGACCCGCGTCGTCTAGTGCTTTCTTAAATGCGGACGACGTAAGATCCGCTGGATGTCGAGTAGCGTAGCCAGCGTTTGGGGGGCTCCCCCGACAGTGCCGCCCCCCCTCGGCCCCCCAGCGTAGGGCGCAGGCAGCCGATGCGAAGCCCCGACATGGCCAGGCTTGGAAGGTCAAAGGTCAACGCCACGGGGCCCACTTCCAGTCGAGCCGAGGGCCTGAGTCCGGGCACCTCCAACTGGAAAACACACGAAACGGCGCGCGTAACAATGACGCGCGTAACAATGACGCACGGGAACTGGCCAGCTCCAGCACCTCTCTCACATGCGCCGCTGCTAAAGTGAACAGGAGGTGCAAAACCTTAAATATTTGTTAAAAACCCCTGGGGCAAAAATAAATGAAGGTGTTAATTTGCACCGATATGAGTGTTTTATTGATAATGCAATCAAATAAATCCGTGCAGCCCTTTACCAATCGACTGCTGGACGAAGGCGTCTCCAGTGTTAGTCGTGGACGGTCGTTTGACTCAGAATCAGAATATGTATTTATACTGGAGGAATGCAAGGAGCTATAAGCTCTTTTTCACAGATCTCCAGTCGGTCAGTGCAGGTTGGTGAAGGTGCAGTGGCCAGATCCACATCTGATTGGAGTCACCACTGATGTTAGCCATGGCAGGGAATCGAAATTAGATTGCCAAGTCCCAGTGGCGGGCCGTGTATTTTACACTGAGGCCTTCAGTGCTATCCTCCCGCAATGAAACCGCCTTCGAATAACCTCACCATGACACTAGGGCTATAGGCTGTTATCATTAAACGTAACCACCCCATATTCACAATGACAGTAACATTTATCGAGTGGAAGAAAGTGATTTAACACGAGGCTCAACACGTATGAGAGTTACAATACACTAATTGCAGAGACATGAATACATGGTGACTGAAACCATCAAAGATGTACCACTATGACACAGTAGTGACAGGATGCTGCATCACAAATTAGACATCGCATAGCCCAAATCAATGTCATTACCAAAGAAAACAAGAATAAAACTCACAAACAACCCAGTCACCATTAACTCATCACGACCACCAAGCAAGCAAAATTCCGTTAAAACACAATAAACAATCAGGATTCAAACAGGCTCTCCCCGCAGAAAAAAAAACAATCTAAAACGTCACGAAATACAGTTTAAAAAAATCTTAGATGATGCTACATTACGTGCTCGCTAGTTTTACTTCAGTTAGCTAACCGGCCCTCCGATCATGCCACACGAAAAATGCTAAAGAGGCGGCTAGGCCAGCTAGAAGGCCTTGGCGTGTCAAAGAATACGCCCCACCATGGCAAACTCGACATCTGATTGGTTTAAAGAATCTGACAATCAACAACATCGTCCCCATTTGCTTCAACCGCAGCGGGATTCACTCGACATTCTGAAGGCCTCAAGGGTAGATGTTTAACCCGGAGAGGCGGAGACAGCACAGGTGGAAAATATGATTGTATAAAAGCCAAATTTATGAGTTGCACTGGAAGCAGCGCAAACTGATGGAGCGAGTAGCAATGAAATGACGTTAATAGACGCTCTTTGGTTCTTTCGGTAAAGTCGCGTAGGAAAGAAAATAAATTAAATAATACGAAAAGATCGGTGGGCGCTGGCAATCCCTGCAGCCCCAGCCGGTCAGCAAGTCTTATTTCAATACGTACGCGAGAATACATCACTGTAAACCGTAATGCTGCTGCTTCTTTATGTTTGTTCGTGGTACGACGCGGAAGATGGCGGGACAGCTGCGAATCCACCGGTGATGCGCGGAACGTTCCACACGACGGAGCTGCTGTCGGGCTCCAAACGTCGCCGTCTGGTCTGGACTGCCTCACGTCACGTGACAAACTGAGACGCACCAACGCACGCTGTGATAAATCCGACAGCGAAACATGTTTGTGGAGGTGAGGTTTGGTGGCATGTCGAGGTTCGTGAATTCGCAAACCCACTAGGCTGTAAGGTGGCTGGAAGCTGGCAGCATAGCAAATAGGTGTGTGAACGCATCTATTCTGTGGGGATTGCTACCCCCCTCGTGTGCGTGGGTTTTTTTCACTTGGTTTGTTTTTTTCCCCCCACAATCATTAAAATGGCATTGGCCAAACGACCCAATACGGAAGCCTCCCGCACTAGTCTTGGGACTTGGCAAGGCTTTTCTTGAAAAGTTAATGACGTTAAAAACTTACTTGGCTAACTTTTTACTAACACTGCGCATTTAGTGTTGTGCATTTATCATTTTAAATCTTCTTACCTGATCGCAGCTTTTTGGAATAGGCAACCGGACCATCATATTTGTAGCATGACTGTGGAAACAAACCACTAACGTCATGAACATCATCATCATAATCACATCCATCATCATACATTGCAGTAGTTACAACATTACAACATTATCATCATAACAACTTCATTATCATACATTGCAGTATTTACAACATTACAACATTATCATCATAAACAACTTCATTATCATACATTACAGTATTTACAACATTACAACATCATTCAATGCATTATCATATAACATTATTGTACAATGGATGATAATGTTGGATGATAATGTTGTAATACTTCATTATCATATTTTTCGATTTTAAAGCTTTCGTGACTGCAGGGATTCATATTCTTGGACCTTTCGGTAAAGTCATGTAGAAGGGAAATAATTAATGATAATGTTGTAAATACTGCAATGCACAGTCCATTGTCAATTCACTGCTAGATGAAGGCATCCACACACCGTGTCAGTGACGGAGATTGTCTGACCATACATCACCACGCCGGTCAGTATTGATTGCTAACAGTGGCATGGCGGGTGGGGGGGTGCTCAGGACCGGTTTAGATATCGCTCGCCACTGATACTGCCCATTGGCCGAGAATCAAACTCAGGTTATCCAGTTAAGAGTGCAGTGAGATAACCACTCATCCACCTGTCCACCCACATGCAGAAATAAAATACATACGCAGGATAATAAAGTCCATAACACCTTATGACCGACCGTTTCTATCTATCCCATTTTCTTATCTTAACTACCTCGCCTGGTGTACAGGGGCTCGTGGGTTCAATATCAACCCTGACGTCTGCCTATTTGGAGTTTGCGGTGTCTCTCTCCCCGTGGCCGCTTGGATTTTTCTCCGCATCCTCCTGTTTTTCCCCTCCACGTTTGGAATCAACATCACGCGTTGAGAGTATTTGGCTGCTTTAGATTGCAACGCACGATGATGATGATGAGCCACTTTGCTGAGCTATCATTTATGAGAGCCAGGATCTAACCTGTTCAAATAAAAAACTGGTATAGTTATAGTTTAGTAACGAAGCTGTATACCCTACACCTTCCGCTCTCGAACATGTATTGTTAGTTGCTGCGGCGCCATATATTAACATTCCTTCCCTTTATTAATTCTAACCTTACTCCCTCCCTTTGATACGCTAATCTGCATAATGCACGGGCACAATGACTTTAAAACCCCTCGCCAAACCTCCTACGCATTCACAAGTAGTACTAATCGCATATCTGCATTTTCCACATAAATATGCTAAATTCATCTTGATATGCAAATTATTTTGTCAAGACGCTCTTCGCCCCTCCAACCCAGCTTAAATAGTCGCTCCAAGCCTGGGGCGTGCCATTCAGACTCTGTCTTCTCGCTGGTCTCCACCTGAAGACGGCTGCTTGCGTTGTGGCCGAAACGTCGTGAGAATTATTTATTATGTTTTATTTTTATTATTTTATTATTTTCCTTCTACGTGACTTTACCGAAAGAATCAAGAAGATGTATTGTTACCTCATGCAGCGTACAATTGCACGGTATTAAAATGTTCTTTTGAAGAAAAAAAACAATGACTCATCCCATGGCCCACATTTATGCAGTGTGCAGACTTAACGACCTGGTGTGTGTCGATGACTACAAACCAACTACCCTGCAGAGACACAAAGCAATGACTCAATGAGAATCAGACGTACATTGGTAAACGAATCAAAGCTCTGTGAATGTTTGGAAATAAATCGGTGTAGTTTTAGTAAGAGCAAGCGGCGCTACGGTGAAATGGTAAATGTGCCCAAGTCCATTGCCATTTATAATCTACTCTTGCGCTCATGATACACGGCGTCCGCGCCACGCGTGTGACTATTGATTGTTGACGATGAATGACAATTATAAGCAAATGTTACACGTTAATGCCACTGGAAGAAAACGGGAAAGCATGAGACGGATCATGAGACAGATGTTAAAAGTTAGATATAAAAACTAAATAAAAACACAAGGGAACTGATTCTATGATCTAAATGTGACTTCATCAAACGGAAAATGTATGTGGGAGTAACGATTATCTGAACCAGTCCTGGGCCTTCTCTAGGTCGACTCAGCCTCAAATGAATACAGTACCTGGTGCAGTGTGTAAACATCACCACAAAGAAGACAAAGGCGGCCGTGCGTGGTTCTAGCCATCCACCCCCCTCGTGTACTGTTCCAGCCTTCATAGGGTGCTCACTAACAGCACTTGCCCCAACAGTCTGTTAAGGCTATACAGGGGATCTTCATCTTTGCAGTGGGTAGTCCGGTACGAACCCAGCGACCCGAGTTCGATTCCCACTCACGGCCAACCACCATTGACAATGATCTGAACCAGTCGTAGGCCTCTCCCTAGGTCGACTCAGCCTCAAATGAGTACCTGGTGTGGTGTGTAAACTTCGCCACTAGGGAGACAAAGGCGGCCGGGCGTGGTGCAAACCACCCACCCCCTCGTGTACCATGCCGGCCTTCATATGTTACTCACTAACAGAACTTTGCAGTGGATAGCACACTGAATCATTAACCAAGTGGAGATTGATGTCTTAGCCAGTGCGGGGCCTTCCCCACTTCATCAACCTGCATTGACCGGCGTGGTGAAGTACGGTCAAACAACCTCCACGACCGGCAGAACGCGGGTAGATGTTCATCCAGCAATGGACTGAAAGAGCACTGTAAATGTCTATCGTTAAACGATCACGATAAATTCTACTAAATTCTACCCGTTGACTCAACCGAATTGCAACATTTCAGAGTGGTGGTGTAAGCCATTGTGCTTGCGCCTCCGGCGTGTGAATGTATTAGACACTGGTAAGCAACTTCTGCACCAGCCGACAATCCACAGGGCAACTACAAAACATTTGTAACTCATGAAAAAACAATAGGCCTTTTACCCTTAGATACAACTGCTCAATCCCGGGCTATTAACGCTCTGATATTTTGCGTCGCCTTTGTGGTGTTCACCTTTTGGCGTTCTCTGGTCTAACATCGGCAGTGAGAAAAGGACATAAAGAGGCTGTCTCTGGTGTAGGCCAATCAGTTTAAAAGACAATGCACACATTATTTATCAAAGCGTGTTTGTTACATGTTGTACCACAAGCAAGAAGTGTGGTTAATGCAGACTTGTTGCCTTGCGATAGGTGTGTCTATTTGGTGTTTGAACATCTGAACGCCTCCTGTATTATTGCCGGAAAGGTTAAAAGGTTAAAAGCCTATTATTTTTTTGTCATCATTTCTAACCGAGCTCTCGCAATGCAAAGCGTGCCTGACGCGCGCGTTCGCGTAAGGACGGCGATGGTCCGTGCCACGTCCCGTCATACCTTCTCGGCGAGAGGTCACAACGCAACTTCAAACACACCAACAGCCGACTGCGAACACAAACGGGCAGTCACGGTGAAGGGACGCATGGGCAGCAGTACACACACAAGCTCAACTTGCATTCGGAGAGCCGAACGAACGGTAACAGAACTGAAGGGCGCTCACTGCCATGGTATGTTCGTGTCGACAGAAGGACCCCACTGAACAGGAATCCGGCGAATGTCGGTGGCAGGGAGGCGCAGTGGGTAACTACACCTGTGCCGCACGGCACTAAGGACCTGGGTTCAATTCCGACTCGTGTCCACACTGTGATGGTATGGGGTATCCCACTGAACAAGAATCCTGCGAATATCAGCGACAGGGAGGCGCAGTGGTACTAACACCTGTGCCGCCGGCACTAAGGCCCTGGGTTTCTAGATTTTCCTCTTGTTCTGCGTGGATTCCTCCGTGTTCTCCGACTTCCTTCCATAGCTATGAATAAATGTACACAGTAGCTGGTATCGGCTAAACACCCGATTCTGAGAATTACCAGACAATTACTCAATTGGGATCATACACATCGCAAAGGTCGCTCCCTACTGGCAACATTTGGCAGTACCCTCCTAAAAAAGTGCTTTAAGACTCAGTGAGACTTCCCAAGCACACAATCATATTAACAATAGAGTATTTACACTATGAGACCTCCTTTACCAGTGGTAAATATAGTAATAGGTGTTTACCCTTTCAACTGGTACAAAATCTGACACCTTTATACAAGGTATCATGTTTGCAATAACCACAACACAGAAGTCAAACTGCAAAGTGTAAATGCTTACCCGAGCTCTCAATACTCTGATAGCGCGCTGTTTTGATTTGTACACCTTTTGGTGTCATCTGGTCCAACACCCATGTGAGACTGGGCTGCTAAAGAAAAGCGGTCTCGAGGGTGGTAGAGCCAATCAACTTCAAGGACAGTGCATTAATTATCAGAGTTCTTTCTTTGTTTGCATTTTAGCTGCTTGTGTTGTGGTTATTGCAAACTGATGCCTTGTATAAAGGTGTCAGTTTTATTACCAATTGAAAGGGTAAACCCTATTATTACAATAGAGTAATTAACAGTGAAACCAATGACAATGCAGTGGAAAGGATGAAGTTTCATGACGGTGACGATGATGAGGATGGGCAGGGACGTACCTCCTTTCAGGTTGCACTTCCACTGTTGGGAACAGCCTGAAAGGCAGCGGCGTTGGAAGTCGTCAAGCACCGTGTACTGGCATCACGGTCATCTGCGGTCGCCACAGCGATGGCTCTACCTAAGCACCTTGAAATCATCTCGATTGAAAACTCTTTTCTTGAGAAAGCTGCTGTTTGTGCGTTAGGTTTGTTGTTCTCGCCCCCCGCCCGTCCCGCACCTCCGATTAGCACGGTTGGCTACGTACGGTGGGTGAAGAAGGTCAACATGCGTATGCACAATGAACAACGCCCTCACCGTGCTCAGAAGGCTCATGGCCTTGTGGGAATGCATCTCGTGAGCCGATCTCGTCTCTAGTGCATCCCCCATGCTTTCTCCGCCTCCACAACAACCTCCTTCTTTCTTCTTCTAAAGTCTGGAAGACCTTGCCGTGTGGCCATAGTCACAACCTTCCACTTGTGTTTAACTTAGTTAGACGTTATATAGACGCTGTTTGCTTATATGTACGTGAATCTCCTGTTGAATTTCCCTCTGTTTTGTCCTTTAGAGCTATAATGAATAATGATGATGTACAGCCCTTTGTCAATCCACTACAAGGTGAAGGCCTCACAACGCTGTGCTGATTGCGGGGATTGGTTGACCATACCTCACCACGCTAGTCAGCGCGGGTTGGGGAGGAAGAGTCAAGTTCAGATGTCACTTGCTACCGATGATTAGCCATGGCCGTGAATCAAAGATAAGCACGATTGTTGTTGTCTCCGTGTCTTATTCTCTCACTCTCCCTTATGTTATCTAACCCGAGCATTACTGTCGCGGCATCGAGAGATGAGACTTTACACTGTCACGTGAAATGTAACCAAATTGTTTTGGTGAGGTCGTGAGGTTGGTTTAGAATTAACCAAACCCCGTCCCTCTCAAACGGCAGAAGTCGCCGCGATCCACGGCAAACGCGCCGACTGCCAAAGAGCCGAGGCTGCGTTGAGTGCATGACGGTGCACTCACGCAGCCTCGCCTCTGGGGAGGGGCAAGATGGCACGCGCCTGTGATCCCAGCACTCTGAAAGCAAGGGGTTTGTCGGCCGTAGAGATTGTGAAACTCGCAAAACACCCCCCCTGGGCGGCATGCGAGTTCGTGAACCTTTGAGCACCGTCTCCTCGAATGCGTGAGTTTTCTCTGGGTACTCCGGTTTTACTCCCACTCACTTCCATTGCGGGACCGTTGTGATCAAAAAGTATCGAAAATCGTGGATAAATAAATTACGTTTTGCGGTGCGTGTTTGCGTACGTAATCACGCGAGCATTACCTCACCAGGGCCCGGGCTCACTCTGATCGCACGTTTGGTCTCGAAGTCGGTCACGTTCACGTTGGCGTGGAAGCGGCACTCGTCCAATCGCACGGCACCGCCGTAGCCTGGACACAGAGAGAGAGGTGCAAGGCAGATGCAGCATCTGTCGCGTGTATTAATTACTGCCGGAGCGAGCCCAAGGAAGTATGTATGCATGTTGAACTTCTTTCGCACTGTACGGAGCCAACTGTGCTAATCGGAGGTGCGGGGGAAGGACAACAAACACTAAAAACAAATGAGTTTTCAATCTAGATGATGATTTAAAAGTGCCCAGCTGCAGCGGCTTCCAAATATCAGAAGGAAGAGCATTCCAGGCGGCCACAGAAGCGCATCTGAAAGCGCCGCAAGATCCGGTGACCGTCTTTGTTCGATGGCCAGCAAAAAGCCGCTGCTGCGAGGATGACCGGAGTTCGCGTGATGGTGGTTTACGCTCCTTGACGAGATCAGCGAGGGACTGTGATTCATTCGTTTTCATTCCACACACCACCAGCCCGGTCACACTCGCACACCTCTCACCTCTATTCTGTGATGATCCTATGGCAAGATCATGGTTGAACGTCATGAAGATTTCTGAAAACACAGCAAAGCCACGTGACAAAACACACACAATGCATACTTGTTTCATCTTAATTTGAATCAAAGAGTCCTCCGCGTGTACGTGTGTTCCATGTGACGTATAGGGCGCTGTGACTCAAATTAAGTTACATATGTTGTGTGTGTGTGTGCATCTGCCAGTCATCTCACTCAACTCATACCACCTGCGTCTGTCCTGTAACTTAATGCCAGTGAGCCATCCATACTTCACGTGGTCTGAAAGTGTACTTAGCCTGGCACAAGTGCCATGGTGACAACACCGTCACTCAGCGGCGAATGGCAACTGCTGTTGTTGTGTGCGCGTGCGTCCCGCGTGACGCAGAGAGCACCGATTCACCGATTACATCGCGTAAGACACGTTCACAAACTGTCGGCGCGTGCAGCATGCAATTCTTTTATTTGTATTTGGAACGGAGAAGACTCATGAAGGCGGAAAGGCAGGCCGAGGTGAGTCGCGAGGGCCGGAGTTTGCGAAACCCCGTGGGACCCCTACAGGAGCCCCGCACAAGACTTGCGTGGTGTGTGAAAGGGGGGGGGGGCGGGCAACAGCAGGGGGTGCCCTCCGCTGTTGACGTCATCAGGCAGTGGGAGCCCCTTGAAAACCACAAGGGGCCACCTGGAGCCCCCCGCGTCATCATTCGAGCCACCCGGTGTGCGTTCGGTACCTGAACAGCCGTTCACGAAGCTCTTCAAATTGATATCGCCATTGAGCTCCGCTTGAACCACATTCCCCTGTTGGGGACACAAAAACTGCATCACTCAGAAACACGAAGGCAAAGCGTTTGTACAAATGGCGTGCTCGAACCAGACGGCGAGGGTGGCTGCAGCGATGTCTCTTCCGGCGTCTGAGCATGCACATGCGTGTGCTGGTGTGTGCATACGGCTGTGTTCACATACGTGTGCGTGTGTGCGTGTGTGCTCACATACAAACGTGTGTGTGTGTTGGTACGCACATTTGCACCGATGAGCACTGTTAGCCTCTCCAAAACGTCCACGAATATCTCGTTGGTTTTGCTCTGAACACAAAAGCGGAGAACATTCATTCCCCAACTGCAATGAGTCAACAATTTCGATCGCCGGGTTGAGTTCATTTGTGAAAGTAAATGCAGATAGCTCTTCGTGTAGCTAGGATGCTGGGAAATGTCAACGGCAAATCAATGTGCATGCCTGTAACTCAGTGCTCTGTCAGAATGGGCCATTGAATCACTTCTGTATTGGCCATAACAGAACACGGAGCCAAAAAAAATGTTGGATGTTGCATTCCACAACTGTCAGCTGATATTTCCACCACTTGACTCACACAAACTTGTGAGGCTGTCGCAAGGCATAAACAATAATCCAATAATCTGCCACTCTTCAGCCAGCCTACAGGCACAAGCGGCGGTGGCATGACCTTACGGGAGTGCATTCGCCGCTTGTTGCAGAGGCTCATAGTTCGAATCCAGCGGCCTCCCTGGTTCATACTGCGGCGTGGTATTCCGCTTAAAAATATGCGACAGGCCGCCCGCTTCACAGTCGACGTTAAAGATCCCGTGACATCATTGACAAGAGTCGGCCGCTGTGTGTCGGCTTCATCGTCCAAATTTGTCACATTTTGAAAACTTGCCCTGAAAATGACTCAACAGGGGGGTTATGCGTAGCAACCATCGCCCTGCATTGCAAAAAACGTGGCAGGACCCTCCTGTAAAAGAGTCGTGAAACTCAGAGAGGCTCTCCTGGGTAAAGAGCATAAACTGCCACCGTGGTACAAGAACTCTGGCCGTGTTGTGACACGCAGTGCACTGTGGGACTCTTCAATGTTCAACACATGCACTTGGGGGTTGTCCAGCCGGCGGTCGTTTTTTTAAACAACACAACTTCATTTTCTATACTGCAGCGATGTGTCCGTCCATTGCTGGATGCAGGCATTCACACACCATGTCGAACTTAGGGGTTGTTTGACCGTACTTTACCACGCGAGCAAAAAAAACCACTCAACACATTCCATCAACAAGACCGCCTTAATAATAAAAATATATAACACGTGACGTTATGGGCAATCTTCATAGCACACAGATGACCATACTATGCCCCCACTAGCTTAGTGGGGGCCCAGGACAGGTTTAGGTTTAAATATCACTCACCGCTGGTGTTAGCTGTTATCGGGAATCAAACTTAAAAGAGTTCTTCGGATTCATACTGCAATGCACTAACCCCAGTGTTCTTCACTAATTTTCAGAGTGGCGGGGGGGAGGGGCAATTTCGCCGATAAGACATCGTCAGTGTGAGGGCTGACACACCGCCTACAAGGGGATGTTTTCACATGTTGTGTATTGTCAGGGGGCCACCATGAACAACACTGCACTAACCGACGCACGACCACGCGACCAATGTCCTCTTGTTATGGAAACACATTTCACGTGGGAAACCGGCACGCAATGGTGCGCGCACAAAAAAACACGCAGTTTCTCTCGGATGATGTACCTGATGAGACAGTGAGCGTATCGAAGCTGATGCCGGGACCAAGGTTTTTTGTGTGTCTGCTCCAAACTACAAAGACAAAGAGGACACACAAAAATGATAAAGATTACCCGTATAAGCCACACAGAGTCGTGCAACAAGTGCTGCTAAAGAGCACTGAACGCATTCCTGCGGAGGGAGCTGGTAGGAACGTTGGGTTGCTCGGTCAATGGCCAGGGTCAACGGCGGCGTGGTGTATTCCGCAAATATGCCCGACTGTGAGGGCGGGCATAAGCCGGCGTGAGTAGGTTAAACGTTGAGTTTTATAAGGGCACCACGGGGTGACCAGCCCCTCCCCACCCAGCCCCACCCCTCCCACCTCCCACCCAGCCCCACCCTCCCCACCCAGACCCTCTCCACCCCCCTCCCCACCCAGCCCCACCCTCCCCACCCAGCCCCTCCCCACCCTCCCCTCCCCACCAGCCCCTCCCTCCCCACCCAGCCCCTCCCTGCACGACGGACGGACACAATAATCCCCTGTGGGCTGGTGTAACCAGGAGGTTCCTACCAGTATTATAGAGTCATGTGATGCTGGTGGTGGTGTGAGCCACTTTACAACCTGGCCAGCTTTGTCTCCCAAGCAAGCATTGATGTTTACACACCACACTACTCATTTAAGGCTGGGTTGGCCTAGGGGAGGCCCAAGAGAGGTTCCGATAAACCTGCCCCTGATGTTAACCATGGCCGAATATACACAATTAATGTGTTATTCGATTACAATCCTTCGAAATGCAATGCGGCGCGTGTGGACACATGTACACGTGTGTGTGTGTGTACCAGTCCGATGGCACTCATGTCAAACAAGCTGCTGGGTTGGGTGTTGACGGCTTCGCTCTGCACGTAGTTCCTCAGGACGTCCAAACGTGTAGTCTGTACCACTCCAAAGTCCTTCAACAAGAGGCAAAAGCCACAGCGTTAGCGACACGTCACAGCCACTCGTCTCCTAAGTCGCTACTGAAAGATAATTAATTGAGCTCTGGTGCGAGTCCAAAAAACTCCATCCCATTTTGCTGTCAGCCACTACCGGACAGAAAAATTGTAGTTGTAAGAGATAGAGTGTTGCCCCTTCGCACACGCACAGGTTTTCTCTTATGACGGATCGGTTTCCTCCCACGTGTTGACACTGATTAATTGGCCGAAGCACCTTAACTAATAAAAACCAAAGAGCTTTGAAGGAGAATTTGGCACTGGTTAACCATGCGGCTGCCTTTCCTGCCTGTCTCATTAAAACAAGGGTGGAACGTGGCACAACGGTTTGCGTGCTTGACTATGAACTCAACGACCCGAGTTTGATATCCAGCAATGGCTAACATGAGTGGTGAGCGATATCCGAACCGATCCTGGGCACTGACCAGCGTGGTCAAGTCTTCTCAAACAAACCAACACTGCGTGGGGAGGCCTTCATCTAGCAGTGGACTGACAAAGCACTGTAAATGGATATAATACAACTCTAAAGCTGTTCTGTACTTTTTTCACAGAACAATTATTGCCGTAAATTATTTTCACAATTTCTATGGCAATCACAGTTTTAATTTTGACACTTACCAGGATTTCTTCTAGAAGCTCATACAATAGTGGTAGGTTCTTCCTGATGGCCTCTTCAGAAACAGATCCACAGTAGTCTTTGACTATTGCAGCAAACCTACACACGAACAAAGGAGGTCACTGCATCGCACACTTTCAGATGCGCTTCTGCGGCCGTCTGGAACGCTCGTCCCTCCGATATTAGGATGCCACTGGGGCTTTGCCCTTTTAAATCCAGATTAAAAACTAATTTCTTTAGAACTGCCTGTTGTGTTGAATTTGTTGTCCTTCCCTAACACCTCCGTTTTTTCAAGGTTGGCTACGTACGGTGCGAAAGAAGTTCAACATACATACAAAACGCTTTTTTTTATCTCCATTGTCAGGTCAAACATATAAAATACTGTTTTGAAGCTTTCGTGACTGCAGAAATCCATACTCTTTGGTTCTTTCGGTAAAGTCAGGACGATTGCTTGTGTGGCGATCGAAACGTCGTGATCTATTATTTTTTCTACCTACGTGATCTTACTGAAACTACCAAGGAGTATATTAAAAGACTGTTTTGGAAGCACCCAGGGGTACATGACGCTAACACCATGTTAAATACCTGAGCTGACACACAGCTAAGATCCTGTGTTCAAATCTGGGTTTCAGCCACACGCAATGAACCCGGGGTTGTCAAGTGTTGAGAGCTGATGGTCTCAGCCCCCAATGTCACCAATGACTCGCAGAGAGACTTGTAGTTTTATAAGAAGGTGCATACACTCAAAGATTTCCTGAAGTACTCCTGTTATGTCATCTTCTGGGGAAGCTCTCTGCTCACAATCCATGCGTTCAATACTTTATTTAAGATACAAGCCAACTGTATGTAAATTATCTTAACCATCGGGCTAATGAAACAATCAACACAATACAAGCCAGAAAGTAAAAACAAGACAAAACGGAAGGGATTTTTCAATTCGCGCTGTGAACCGTGGATCGATAGAACTAATTGAATCGCATGTGGGTGTGAATCATTGCGCGTGCTGTGTGTACGTAGGATAGGAATTGTATCAGAATAAATGGGGAGGCTGGGGCTTGCAGGTTAAACCAAAGTAAAGTCCGTTATGCCGTGTGTGCACGTAGCACAGCCCATTATGTACCTGAAAAAGAATTACAGGAAAATGAATCACACACATATTCATGTAAATGTTCACACTCTATCAGAATCGTGTCATTCGGAACACTCATAGAGCAGGGCATTGCCCAGTATTAGAGAACAGCCCACGGAAGGTGATATCATGATCTACATCAAGATCCATCCAATTGCCTGTTTCAATTCCTCACACTACAGCGATGCAGTTTCCCACTTGCCCCGCTACAGAGAAACGTCCGTCACTCACATGGTCGTCAATCCGACAGCCGGAGCCAGGAAACAGCAGAACAACAATTGGACTGTGACCTGATCTGGGCCTCATCCCAAGTGCAAAACACTCCGGGAAAATGGAATTGGCAACAGCAAATACTTTAATAGGACCATTTGAAAAAACGTACTCAGTGAGGCTTTAACTGGATAAATGACTGTACATTACAATCTCGGGAACTATCGACAAGGCTGCAGGCAGAGGAAGAATCACCCCCAAGAGCGCATTCACCATGCAGATGGAGCAATGAAATGTGGCACTGCAAAGACCATGAGGGACGTTGACAGCCTGGTAAGGGCTTCATCCAGCAGTCGGTCGATCGTGGTTGATGATGTGTGGTAAGTTGAACTTCTTTCGCACCGTACGCATCCAACCGCGCTAATCGGAGGTTATTCCAGGACAGTATTAGACTTGAGGAGTATCACAGGGATGTTGCGGGTGTAGCCATTACCTTAACGATGGGCTGCTCGCTCTCGTTCAGAGGGCACATTCTCTCGTACAAATTATCCGCGTGTCCATTACCTACATCTGTCAAGCAGGTGGTTAAGGAAACTTAAAAACTCATCGTGATCATCAACCATCACATTTACACGGAACACAATTCTTGAAAAGAAGCTTCGTTTCTGGCATTGTCATGGGTCGTTGTACATTCACGAACGCCCTAAACAACACTGCAAAACATGCGATGAACACACGCACATATTGCACAGATTCACTTCTCAAAATAATTCTCAAGTAAAATCATCTTCGCTATGTTGGTGGATGGAGATGTCAGTGGATGTCTGCCAAAATAAAATAAAACATTCAGAGCGATACCTCAAAAAGTAAGCCTCCCTGCCTTTTTTTGTCCCTAATTACTTTGTAATGTAATGAACTGGTACAGCTTTTTTTTCTCCAATGCCCATTCATAACAACGCCATGAAAATGTTTTTCACATGACAGGAGGCGACACAAGGGAGCTTAAAAAACATCAATGGCCATGGAACAGTTCGGGTGAACTGGACTGTGCTTTCTGCCCCATCAATCATACAACTCCAGATCTGGCTCCTTCAAACATTCATCTGCTCGGCCCTTACTCTTTTCTTTTCGGTATGTCACGTAACTTTACCGAAAGAACCAAAGAGTATGGACTCTGCAGTCACGAAAAGCTTCAAATCAAGATTGCTCGAGCCCTTCCTTTGAACGCTGGCCCTACGGGGCAACTTTTTAAAATTGGGCACATCTGGATCAAAAGTCTGAAGGGATCCAAAGGCTGTTTTGACACATTCAGTTTAATCCCGTTGGACAAACAAGGCAGTAGAAATCTTGGAATCAGCTGAACAAGCCACGTTGTGTGGTGCACGTGACCACGTGGAAGTCATGTGGGACAAAAGTCGATCTCAATGGATACAAATTAAATATGAATAGTAATATGTTTTAACCCTTTCAACTGGTACAAAAACCGACACCTTTATACGAGGCATCATGTTTGCAATAACCACAACACAAGCAGTCAAAATACACTGAGTTATACGCCTTTTGGCGTCATCTGGGCCAACACCAGTGGAGACTGGACAAGACTACGGGGTAAACCGTCGGTATTGACGGTGATGCGAACACAAGTGACCGAGGTCGTGACATACAGTACAGCGAACACGTGTGTATACTGTACACACACGCGTGTATATACTGTACACACACGCGCGTATATACTGTACACACACGCGCGCGTGTATACTGTACACACGCGCGCGTGTGTATACTGTACATAGCACTGTACCCCATGTACAGTACACATTGCGCACTGTACATTACACTTCCGCTTGGCACGGCTGGCTACGTACGGTGCGAAAGAAGTTCAACGTACATAGCACGAGCCGCGTTTAACACACATCGCACAGACAGCACCCACAGCAACAACAACAGTGGCGGTGACGTCACCACGGCGCTTGTGCCAGGCTAGGTGCACGTTGAGGCCACGTGAAGTGTGAACCACGTCACACTGTATTCAGCACACACACACGGTACACATCTCACACACGATGTACATCTCACACACGATGTACACATCTCACACACGATGTACACATGTAACATCGCAACATAAACAGTAACATCGAAGGCGAAACACCCAAAGCGAAACGCCCCGTAGATGGAGAGAGCCGATAGCATCGATAGCTGCTGTGGCCAATGATGGTGTTAGTGACAGCGGTAATGATATTGATGATTGATATTGTGATGATGGTGGTGATGATATTGTGATGATGGTGGTGATGATATTGTGATGATGATGGTGATGAGGAGGATACAGTCCCTGTAGAGTAGAGTGTCTCCCCTGGACGACAGCACAAACGCCTGGGACAGCATCGCCAGTGGCTGCTGTCTGTGTAGTTGTGTGAGCGATGTGTGTGTGTGCGTGTAGCTGTGTGTGTAGTGTGTGGTGAGCTGTGTGTGTAGCTGTGTGTGCGTGTAGCTGTGTGTGAGCTGTGTGTGGTGAGCTGTGTGTGTGAGCTGTGTGTGTAGCTGTGTGTGCGTGTAGCTGTGTGTGAGCTGTGTGTGTGTGAGCTGTGTGTATAGCTGTGTGTGTGAGCTGTGTGTGTGTGTGTGTGTGTGTAGCTGTGTGTGTGTAGCTGTGTGTGCGTGTAGCTGTGTGTGCGTGTATCTGTGTGTGTGAGCTGTGTGTGTGTGAGCTGTGTGTGTGTAGTTGTGTGTGTGTAGCTGTGTGTGTAGCTGTGTGTGAGCTGTGTGTGTAGCTGTGTGTGAGCTGTGTGTGTGTAGCTGTGTGTGTGAGCTGTGTGTGTGTATAGTTGTGTGTGGTGTGTGTAGCTGTGTGTGTGTATAGCTGTGTGTGTGCGTGTAGCTGTGTGTGTAGTGTGTGTGAGCTGTGTGTAGTTGTGTTGTGTGTAGTGTGTGTGTGAGCTGAGTGGTGAGTGTGTGTGAGCTGTGTGTAGCTGTGTGTGAGCTGTGTGTGTGTGTTGTGAGCTGTGGTGTGAGCTGTGTGTGTGTGAGTGTGTGTGGCGGTGTGTGTAGCTGTGTGTGTGAGCTGTGTGTGTGAGCTGTGTGTGTAGTGTGAGTGGTGTGGTGTAGTGTGTGTGTGCGTGTAGCTGTGTGTGCGTGTAGCTGTGTGTGGTGAGCTGTGTGTGCGTGTAGCTGTGTGCGTGTAGCTGTGTGTGCGTGTAGCTGTGTGTGCGTGTAGCTGTGTGTGTGAGCTGTGTGTGTGTGAGCTGTGTGTGTGTAGTTGTGTGTGTGTAGCTGTGTGTGAGCTGTGTGTGTGTAGCTGTGTGTGAGCTGTGTGTGTGTAGCTGTGTGTGTGTATAGTTGTGTGTGTGTGTGTGTAGCTGTGTGTGTGTTGTAGCTGTGTGTGTAGCTGTGTGTGTGTGTAGCTGTGTGTGTGTGTAGCTGTGTGTGTGTTTGTAGCGTGTGTGTGTAGCTGTGTGTGTGTATAGCTGTGTGTGTGTAGTTGTGTGTGTGTGTAGCTGTGTGTAGTTGTGTGTGTGTAGCTGTGTGTGTGTGTGTGTGTAGCTGTGTGTGAGCTGTTGTGTGTAGCTGTGTGTGTGTAGTTATGTGTGTGTAGCTGTGTGTGTGTATAGCTGTGTGTGTGTGTAGTTGTGTTTGTGTGTAGCTGTGTGTGTAGTTGTGTGTGTGTAGGTGGGGAGTTTTATAAGGGCACCACGGGTGACCAGCCCCTCCCCACCCAGCCCCAACCCAGCCCCTCCTCCCCACCCAGCCCCACCCCTCCCACCCCCAACCCAGCCCCTCCCTCCCCACCCCAGCCCCACCCTCCACCCCCAACCCAGCCCCTCCCCCACCCCAGCCCCACCCTCCCCACCCAGCCCCACCCCTCCCCCCCAACCCAGCCCCTCCCTCCCCACCCAGCCCCACCCTCCCCACCCAGCCCCACCCCCCCACCCCCAACCCAGCCCCCCCTCCCCCCCAGACCCCACCCCCCCACCCTCCCCACCACCCCCCCCCACCCCTCCCACCCCCAACCCAGCCCCTCCCTCCCCACCCAGCCCCCCTCCCACCCAGCCCCACCCTCCCACCCAACCCAGCCCCTCCCTCCACCCAGCCCCCCTCCCCACCCAGCCCCCCCCACCCCCCCCACCACCCCCCCCCCCCCCCCCCCCACCCCTCCCACCCCAACCCAGCCCCTCCCCCCACCCAGCCCCACCCTCCCCACCCAGCCCCTCCTTGCACGACGGACGGACGGACACAATAATCCCCTGTGGGCTGGTGTAACCAGAAGGTTCCTCCCAGTATCAGAGCCTGTGTTTGCATGTTCATCGCAACTACTGTGTGTGCTTAATGCAGTACTTGTGTGTGCTTAATGCAGTACTTGTGTGTGCTTAATGCAGTACTTGTGTGTGCTTAATGCA